GATGCATAGTTTCTTTTTCTGTTGATAATATTTTGCGTCGAAAGTAACCAACTTCTTTTAGCTAGACAACAAGTTTATGAGAAGTACATCGGGAGGGAAATTCATAAATTTACAATAAAATAGATAATTTTGACAGTCCAAAGGAGCGCTACATATCTATTATTTTAGAGTTTTAGCCATTAGAGAACTGTTAGATTTTTATCATTCACTCATGAACCAGTTCAAAATCATTTGCCAATCCACAGAATCGCAGAAAATTCACTTTTTGCTGTTGTGATAGTTAATTTTTTCTTTATCTATCTGGACAATGATGTGATTCAGTACGAAAGATGGAATTTTTAGTGGTAACTAGAGCTTATTCCAGTAACATTCATTTGCTTCAAAGTTAAGCCAAATACTTAAAAAATTATCTTTAAACCAATACGAAACTATTTTTTATTCATTTAAGGTCTGAAGTTAATCATAGGGATCCAAATTCCTAAACGAGCAGTTAATGGCCCTTTACAGCTTTATACCTGATAAAGTGAAGATAAGCCATGCAGCTAAACTTGATATTTCTGCGAAGAATATTATGAGTGGCCTGTTAAAGAAGATATATTTAATATAGTAATAATACACATATACTGATTCCCTTTCAGGAGCCATTATACTGAAGTACTATCTAAGGACCAAGCCTTCATCTGTTACATATCGTTGTTTACGACTAGGTAGCTGATCTTAAGTCGTGGTGAGAACCACCTTCAAATTTTGTAAAAAACATAACCCATTAGTAATAAAACTGGTCATATTTAGAAAAGGTGATTCACTTATTTATTTAACCACTGTATTCAATAAGAAATGTGAAATTCTGTTCTATCATTGAGGAATGGTGTAATCATAAATAACTTCTTTGAAGTTACACGTCTCATGCTGTTATCTGTCTCTCCTAACTTTTACGGCAGTTTTAATTAATGTCTAATACCAAATCCTAGAAGCCACCACCATAAAATTATCTTCCAGCATTCATTCACACTAACCTCGCCTGGTTAACTAGTTTACTAGTTACTAGCCGGTCCTAAGCCCGGGTAAAGAGGGAAAGTTGGGCATAGGGATAGCAACCCTATTCCGTAAAACAAATCTAACCGCTAAAGAAACTTCAAAGCACAAATGAAATATAAAAAATAAAAACAAACTTATTCCTCGCTGGAGTCGGAGAGGCGAAATGACGCCAGTTTATGAAAGCCTTCGGGAAGCCAATTGGCCGATGTGTCTTCTCTCCCTAGATGAAAGCGAAAGTAAACGTGGGGACATGGAATGTCCGCACGATGTTTGAACCCAGTAAGGCAGCCCAGATTGCAAAGGAGATGAGAAGGTATCACATCGAAGTGCTTGGAATTTGCGAAAGCAGATGGAATGGGAGTGAACTCTCCAAACTGTCAACTGGAGAATCAATAATCTACTCCGGTCACCCAGACGCCAACCACAAGCACACTGAGGGAGTGGCTATCATGATGTCCCCAACAGCATCGAAGGCTCTCATGCAGTGGGAACTAATCTCCTCATGCAGGATCATGACAGCAAGTGTCAGCTAAAAGGAAGGAAGGAAGGTCACAATCATACAATGCTACACTATGCACCAAAAATTATGCAGAGCAAGAGAAAAAGGAGGAATTCTACAGACAACTGCAATCAACACTGGACAAGACCACACTGCAGTTGGCGATATCGAAATTCTAATAGGCGACATGAATGCCAAACTGGGAGGGGACAACACGGGAAGAGAACTAACCATGGGTCGAGAGGCGCTAGGTGAAATGAATGAGAATGGAGAACTGTTTGCATAATTCTGCGCATTCAACGATTTGGTGATTGGAGGCAGTGTGTTCAAGCACAAAGATATCCACAAAGCGACATGGATTTCACCAGACACCAGGACACACTAAAAATCAAATCGACTTTATCTCAATCTCAAGTAAGTGGAGATGGAGACGCAGTCTACTTAACACAAGGGCAAGAAGAGGAGCAGATGTAGGTTCAGACCACTATCTACTGTAAGGAACCTTCCAAATCAAGTTAAAAGCCTTCAAGGAAGCTGGTGATAGACCTCAATTCAAGTACAACACTCGGAAACTGAAGGACGAAACTACAAAGGAGATCTTCACGTTAGCCATCAAGACAAAGTAGGAGATTTCGAGGAACATCCCTGAAGAAACCTGTGTGGAAGAACACTGGAAGTCTCTGAAAGCTATGTGGAAAGAAACCTGCACAACAGTATTAGGAAGGAAAAAGAAAGAAGACAAGGAATGGATCTCGACGGATACCTGGAAGCTGATAGAGTAGGGAGAGGAGGATGGTGATGTTGAAGCAGAAGATAAACCAGTGCAAGGATGCTCAACGACAAGAGGAACTGAGCACAATGTATAAAACACTGGACAAATGAGTGAAGAAGAGTGCACTGAAAGACAAAAGACACTTCTACGAAACACTGGCAAGTGAAGCAGAACAGGCTGCAGGTGGGAGAGATAGAGACCTGACGACATTGTATCAAATAACCAGGTTGCTATTTGGGGAGAGACCAACACAGATGAAACCAATAAAAGATGAAGAAGGAAATTTAATTACAAAATAAGAGAAACAGAGGAAACGATGGGCCGACCACTTCAAGAAGCTCTTGAATCGATCACCACCACCACCTGTACTTCGTCCAGAAATACCACCTACAGCCGCTGAACTACAAGTGAACATAAATCCTGCAACGAAAATGGAAGTCCTGAACGCAACTCCATAAAGCTACTGAAATGTAGGAAAGCAGCAGGACCAGATGGGATACCGCCAGAAGCACTGAGAACAGACGCAGAGACAACAGCGGCCATGCTCACACCACTATTGCAGAAGGTGTGGAAGGAAGAGAAGGTACCTGCCTGTCGGTTGGAAGAAGGGTTACCTTGTCAAACTGCCGAAGAAGGGAGACCTCAGTGCTTGCAAGAACTGGCGCGGAATCACTCTCCTGTCCACCCAGAGCAAGCAAAATATTAAGCCGCATCATCCTGGAGAGGCTTAAAGATGCACTGGATTCAAAACTGCGACACGAACAGGCAGGCTTCAGGAAGTACAAATCATGTGCTGACCAAATTGCAACGCTTCGTATCATCATAGAACAGAGCGTAGAATGGCAATCAGCTCTATACCTCAACTTCATCGACTTTGAGAAGGCCTTTGACAGCGTCGACAGAGAAGTAATTTGGAAACTGCCTCATTACTACGGAGTACCGCAAACCTTTATCAGCCTCATTCAACAACTATATGAAGATGCCACATGCCGGCCAAGTAATTCACAATGGGAAGCTCAGTGATGCCTTTGAAGTGAAGACAGGAGTGAAACAAGGTTGCCTACTATCCCCCATGATATTCCTGATTGTGGTGGACTGGATCATGCAGCAAACAGTAGGCAGCGAGAAGAGGGGGATACACTGGACGACGGAAAAGAACCTAGAAGACTTGGATTTCGCCGATGACTTGTGCCTAATGTCACATAAACTTGAAGATCTGCAAGCAAAAACTAACAAGTTGATAGAAGAGGCAGCGAAGACGGGACTTCAGGTGAATATAGAGAAGACAGAAGTGAACAACAACAAACTCCAATCACCGTCAACGGGAGAAACTTGAAGGAAGTAACCCTACTTCACTTATCTAGGAAGCACACTGTTTCAACTACAGGCGGGACGGACGAGGACGTCAAAGTCAGAATCGGAAAAGCAAGACAGGCGTTCATTAGCCAGAAACCAGTGTGGAGATCTTCTGCACTCAACATGCGGAACAAGATACGGATTTTCAACACCAACGTCAAGTCAGTGCTCTTGTATGGTTCAGAGACTTGGCGCGTCACGAAAGGCATTCCCAATAAACTACAGACATTCATCAACAACTGCTTACGCTGGCTCGCTACTGAAGATCAGATGGCCAGAAAGAATAAGCAACAAGGAACCCTGGGAACGAACCAACCAAGAACCTATCACGCAACAAATATGCAGGAGGAAGTGGAGATGGATTGGCCATGCACTGAGAAGGCCGACTGAGGACATCACGCGTCAGGCCAGGTACTCGAGTGGAATCCCCATGGGAAGCGACGAGTTGGACGTCCGAGGGTGACATGGAGGAGGTCGTGCGAGGAGGAAATGCGAGCAGCTGGGCTGTTGTGGGACCAGGTTCAAAAGATCTCAGAGAACAGAGGTCACTGGAGGCGTGCTACTGAAGCCCTATGTTCCACTAGGAACCCAAGGGACTAACAATAATAATTCATTCACACTTATTTTCTGTCAAGGATCGCTTAATCTCAGAAAGTTCAACTTAAATAGATGATTGTTGAAGTTGAAAATGCTTCTGATTGTGTTTTAGTAATGTGCTTTGTGATGAATTAACTTAAGGAATATTATTCTTATCAGCTATAGAGCCACTGTAGGCTAGAGGGTACTAAATAACTATCCATCTTTCTTGAATCCCAAACAATATAGCATATGTTTGACTGTACGCAGTACATAACTCAGGATCACAAGCATTTCAAAATTGCAGGCAGCTGGTCGAATGGTAACCAGCCAATCATGAATTTCGTACGATTTCAAGTACTGAATATTTATTGTCAAAATGTTACAGACAAAGACCAAACAGTTATAAAGCGTTTTCAAAATTCCACTGAGTCTCTAAATATCGTGGTTTCAAGATGAAAACTGTTTCCAAACTAATCAACTTGCCAAAATTAGTACAAATACTTCACACCGTATATATATATATATATATATATATATATATATATATATATATATATATATAGAGAGAGAGAGAGAGAGAGAGGGAGAGAGAGAGAGAGAGGCAGAGACAGAGACAGAGAGCTATACGCTGATTCCCTACAGCTGTTCAAAACAGTCGACAATTTCATTATATCATCCCCTTTTTTCTTAAACTTTCATTCTGTGACGATATTTTTATAGATTATGAAGTGAATCTCTGCTTTATTTCTTGTTTAGATATCATCATTGCGCTTATTGGCGTTTATCGGATGGTCATTCAATTATTGCCTCGTGTACACCTTTTACACTTTACCGTTGTGGCAAAAAATTGTAAGTTTTTAAGAATGAGGAGAATACTCTCTCCTTTTTGTGCAATTCAATTACTTTCAACAATTCAACTCTATGAACTGCATTTGTCCCAATTCACTGCTAATTACATGACCCTTAATTGGGTAAAATTACCGTCTGTTGTTTAGATCGCTCCTTTCTGTTGTATAAAATCTGCAGACAAGTATGTATAGTTCCTTATAACTCTTTTTGTTCAGTAGTATTTATTACTCTTTGGTTTTTAAAAAAGCCTTCTTGACTTTCTGTGGTGCATATCGTTCATCATTGATGGTGAGAATAAAAAAGGACTTTAAGTTAGACACCGCTATGTTGTTAAACTTAGACAACTGTCCAATTACTTCTGATACATTGTAGGTAAACGATATACCATATATAGTGACAATTAGAAGCTATTCAGTTAACAAGCACTAACTTTTGCTCATATTCTAGTCAAAACATAACATTTCAGTAGGTAGAATATCTAAGAGGTTGACTCTCTCTTCTGTTTTACTAAGGATAACATATGAGAACACAGAGCTCACAAATACATCCGAATTTCAGAACATATCACAGTTCATTACTGGTTGACATTTTCTTTTTTAATTCCTTCGATCTGTTAACTGGTGATAGTAACTGGCAGTCATCTGTAGATTTTGGTGAAAATACCAATAGTTAGACGCTTTTCATTCATTCTGTTCAAATTATTCAGTGACCTGATTCGAATTCTGCTCACTCTGTCTGTTAGTGGACGTTTGACATGCAGCCGTTGGGAAAATACCAGGAAGTTATTGCCTGATACTTGTAATTTTCTGTGGCTATACAAGGTCGAATTAATTGACGTCTGTTGATCCTGACAGACATTCATGATGTTATATTCATCTTGGTGACTATCAGGGGAATCGAAGACGAGCATTTCATTCTATATGAGGCTTGTCAGCTGGATGTACCTGAACCCTAGTGAGTGGTTTTGTTCACACTGAAACTCGAACCCAGCGCCCATCGCCTCAAAGCCAAAGGGTTATCCACTAGGCCAATGGAACACGATAGCAATAGGAAATTACCAGTGTTAATCAATAAATGATACCTGTGGCACAAGAGGTGTTTATGGCGTCCCAGTGACCTAGTGGATAACGATTTGGCATATAAAGCTATGTGTACTAGGTTCGAGTCTCAGTTGGCAAAAAGTCACTCAGTGAGGTGAAGATACATTTGGCTGAAAAGTCTCATATAGGACGAGACGCACCTCCTGGATTCCCCTGCAAGTCATCAAGATGGGTACGACAGTAGGAAGCTATGTCTATGATTATTTTGACTGATACACTTCATTCACGCAAAAGTTGTTTACTATTTTTAAAAATTATACATTGGACTCTGATTTGAAACTGGTCAACAGATCACCAGTTATCCCAGTTTCCAAATAATCAAATAAAAGATGAGAATGATTCAAAAGCATACACATGTCTTACAGCTTATATACCTTGATAATCGTCCATATTTACAACACTACACCGTACTGATTCCTAGACAGAAGAAGCCAATTACAATTAAATTTGCGTAACGGTTTATAAAAATTATTATTATTATTAGTCCCTTGGGTTCCTAGTGGAACATAGGCTTCAGTAGCACGCCTCCAGTGACCTCTGTTCTCTGAGATCTTTTGAACCTGGTCCCACAACAGCCCAGCTGCTCGCATTTCCTCCTCGCACGACCTCCTCCATGTCACCCTCGGACGTCCAACTCGTCGCTTCCCATGGGGATTCCACTCGAGTACCTGGCCTGACGCGTGATGTCCTCAGTCGGCCTTCTCAGTGCATGGCCAATCCATCTCCACTTCCTCCTGCATATTTGTTGCGTGATAGGTTCTTGGTTGGTTCGTTCCCAGGGTTCCTTGTTGCTTATTCTTTCTGGCCATCTGATCTTCAGTAGCGAGCCAGCGTAAGCAGTTGTTGATGAATGTCTGTAGTTTATTGGGAATGCCTTTCGTGACGCGCCAAGTCTCTGAACCATACAAGAGCACTGACTTGACGTTGGTGTTGAAAATCCGTATCTTGTTCCGCATGTTGAGTGCAGAAGATCTCCACACTGGTTTCTGGCTAATGAACGCCTGTCTTGCTTTTCCGATTCTGACTTTGACATCCTCGTCCGTCCCGCCTGTTTATAAAAATGCAAAGCTGAAAATAGTTTTAACCTATAAGTTCTTCAACAAATTATTTCTATCATTTTAAGAACCTAAATCAAGTGTCAGCCGGTTTTTAATTGGTCTTGCATGTATTCAGGGACAAACGGTAGTGAGTTCACTTTCACCTTCATCCAACCTTAAGTAACTTCTAAATTTTCCTGTAGATTTTGGTAAAACTCATGAATACGGAAGCCAAAATCCAGAAAGAGATCACTGTTGTCCTAAATCTTCCATAGTTGCACTTCCAGTCGGTTCTAAACTTTCATCTCATACTCTTTTACCCTTCTCCAGTGCATCCTGAACTTTATCTAGTAAACAAAAATTTCTACAATCTTCTATCTTCTGGTGTTAACAAGCTTTCAGTATCATCACTTTCAAGACATTTATATAGATTAATTGGTATCGGATGGAAAATTACTGGAAACCCAGATTTACTGGATTTATACTTAGTTATGTTTTGGAATTTTCAAAAGTGCACATCTAGAATGCAATAGAGCATGGAACCTAGGATAAATAGATTCCACGATAAGCACGTTGCCAATCAGCTTCTGAGCTGGAGTACAATTTGACACGTATTTTGACTTCTCAGTTCACTATATAAGGTGTCTATCATTCATTGTTATCGGTGAGCATTTATCGTAATGTCTAACTTGGTTTAAGCCATAGACAGGGGGGTTTTTGTTGCAACTTCAGAAAACCCACTTACTGGGTGGTTACTGGATGACTTTCACCCACTTAAAACAACACCAAACTTATTTAATCCAACTTTTCAAAATTTAACATGAAGCCATTGGATTCATTACAAATATGTTTACACATAACTTACCGTTTTTAAATATTGATTCCTTTTGAAAATGATGATTTCGCAAGAAAAAATCATACCTGAACATCAGCATCTATATGGATGGATATCTATTAGTTGGTGAAAAATTTGAAGGTCTGTTAAAATTAATGTTTGTGTTTTGAGCAAATGGAAAGCGCCAAATATGTTGGAAGTGGTATATAAAACTTTTCAACTGTTGAGTTGGTTGATGGCTACCTGGTCTTATTATTATCAGCATCTGCAAAAACAGTAGTGTATAAGGTACGTCTAACTTCCGAATTGAGCTATGGTTCATTAGTATAGGCACTCGACTCCCAACCAGTGGGTCACGTGCAAGATCTCCACTCACACCTATTTAGGTTTTGACAACCACGTCAAATAGTAACAAGCTTACTTCATAGAGGTGTGCGTGGTAGGTGAATACATTTAACTCGTTTCTATTCCTTCTGAACCGTAAGCATAGAATAAGTTTAATCCGGATTGCAATTCACACATGGTCATGAAAGCTGGTAGTTATGATTGTTGACCACAAATCTTTGTATGGATTTAATTACAACATTCTATATGAATCATAGAACATACCAGTATTACATCACTTCAACAAAGGGTCATATCCGCAAACAACGAATTCTCATAAGTATTAAAGACAAAAAAATGCTGGTGTTTTAATCTGGTAACCAGGTTTTATTTAGACAGGTCTGGACAAATCTACTCCATGACATACTATGGGAATATTTTAGTCCACAATAACAGCAAGCAAGACGATTCAAACGCCCAATTGTCAATCAGCTCGTACTGACACCAGTTTGATATTCATCGAAAAGCTGAAAACAATGGACGGTTTTTTTGTCACTCCAGAGGACTCAACAGCAATGCGCATCCACAACTCCGTCAAAGACTGAATGCAGGACATTCAGGTTTCGAAGTGAGGGTGTTCCTATTCAACCAGTGCGTTGAAATCAAATGGTCAGCATTTTCCTTCTTCTGTCAATTCAGGATATGGCATGACACTCACCCAGTGTCACTGTTGAGTACCTGTCCTCACGTTCAACTTGAAATCAATGAATCCCTGCAAACCTCCAAAGTGAATTACTGTCCAGTGCTTACTAGTGAATTGCTTCGATATGAGAACTCCTGAAGTTCTAGTGAGAAGCAGTGATCAGTGGGGCAAACCAAGTAAGGTAGGAGGACAACTACCTAACAATGGCGCTGGGTTAAAGCCACACCATATTGCGAATCCAGAAAGGTAGGAAACTCTTGACCGCTAGATTCCAACCTAGTTGTTGAATCGCAACGTCATCTTCACAAAACCTGAAGGTCCTGGGTCCAGTTCCCGGTTAGGTCATGGATGCGCACTGTTGCTCGGTCCCATTCGATGATAAAACAACTGTCCACTACTTTCAGATTTTCAACGACTCCTCAGCTGAATACCAACTTGAAATGAAATAACTCCCATAGACTTTGAGATTTCTACTGTTTTAAAGTTTCGTCAGTTTCATTCCCATACAACTGAAGTGCAAATAAATAGTCTCGTTCAGTAATTTATTATTCAAAAAAAAAGCTTACAAGCGTATATATTCAATTATATAGCTTAATCACATTTTTTTATACTTTGTTCTATTCTTTTCCTTAATTTCTTCTACTTTCAACCAGAGAATTCGATTACCAATGTTGTTCAGGATATGAAAAAATTGAAAAAATCCCATATACATTTAGAGATTTCAAAAAAGGGGAGTGTGCACTGCAACTTTCGCCTTATGAGTTATGTACAACCTTAATCAATAATCAGTGTAAGTAACCGTTTTCTTCTTCACATGTATTACACATTTAAACTAAATAAAAGCCAGATCCAAATTCAATCAGCTTGTTGCTAGCACTTCATAAACACTGATGATTTGATACTAGAAACATCCTATCAAAGATCATTTGACATTGCATCATTGGAGTTACCTTCAAGAATAGTATAATAAACGTCACCTAGATACCAAAACAATTAAGTAATGACCAAAAAGACAAAAGAATTAATGCAAAAAGTAGGGATTTTGTCAAGATGATAGTTTTTTCCTAGATAAAAAAGAAATTAATGAGTATCCACTTGACAGGCGTAAAAAATAACAAAACGAGAAGACTTAAGGACCGGAGAAAAAACGATGCTACCAAACTCATAAAACATAGTGAGATTAGAAAAGGAAAAGGGGATTTAGACCATAATGAAATCCGAAATTGAACACACTTTTTATTCATAAGACTGTTGAACGGTTTGGTGTAATGTAGTGCATTTAGTGACTAGAAGTGGAGTCCAAGATGTGTGTTTCATCCTATTTGGGTGTACCTGCATGCCGGTGAGTGGCAGTGTTTCACATGAGACTCAAGGAGCGTATGTGCCAATCGAAGCTGATCAATTCAGTCTAGCATACCATTCAACATGAAATAACAAGCAGCAGTAAATTGCATCTAGTTCCCATTACAAAGAAAGAGGCTTTCTTTACACAGTACCCTAGAAGATAATGCCATAGTGTTCAAAGTGGCAGATACTGAGTTCAAGTGTAAGTGGGGAGGTTCCAGGTACATTTAAGTGACTAGTCATTAACAGAAAGAAAAGCACGTTCTGGATCCCACTACTAGCCATCTTCCAGCTGATAAATAAGCATTATACTGATTTTTTTCTTTGTCAAATGTACTGTGCAGCTTCATGATTTTCAAAAATATTTGTTTTCGGAGTTCACGTTCTTCCAGCTGAACTAAATAAATACTTCTTTTTAAAAATAGTATACTACATTCTCTGTAAACTCCTAGTGACGTGATCATCTTGCTTCAAATCAGACGTTTTCACTCTTCACAGTTCACTTTGAGATGTTGTTTTGAACGTAAACTTTAGGCTTACTGAGCTGCATAGAACACTTATCACTACTTAACTATTTCCTTAACGTAAAATTTATATTAGTCTCCGATTATACTAAGATAATTAAAAAAATGTTTTGGTTTATTCTAGCTGATATTTCACCACTCGTGGATAAAATGAAGTCATTGAGAGAATTCACTACAAAGAATCCTGACAAACCTTATACAATATTTGCACCAAGTACCAGAAATGCTGAAAGATATAAAGAGTAATATTGAGAAAGTATTTGATATTATTATTCTATATAATATTGTATTTTACCTAGATATATATGTTTATTTGTGAAAATATTCTCATTCTCATGGACTGGATAAAAAGTGACTACTTAGAATGACTTTTTGTCTAAAACTTGGTTTTTATTGGTACATGTTTCGTTGTCAAACAGGACATAATTTTCAGGGTACTATAATTTAGCCTGGAAGCAACTGTCCACTCAACTATGGGCTAAAGCATAAGCTACTTTTGATACTCACAAGTATACTTGTCCACTGCTAAGCAAAATCTAAAAAAACTGTGAAGTACAGCAAAGTAGCACACCCTTTTACAGTACGAAGATGTGACACAGAAAAAAACCCTTCCAACACACACACATACATTCGACAAATGATCGGTCAATTCAAACCTTACTGGACGTTATCTGTAGAAGTCAAATAAACTGTCGATCAACGTGATTAGTTAGATACTGCTTACTTTAAATGGCACCTGTTTTTGCAAGAATATTGTGTGTGAATATATTCTAACTCCTTGTAACACTGCAGTATATTGCAGGTTGTTCTTTAAATATGATGAAACATTCTAAAGGTATCTTCTGTGATGATGATTGTTGCAAGCAGCTAACACCGTAGCTCAGTAAACATACTGTGAACAGTAAGGTGCATTTTAATCGTTATGTGTGTAAATAAGTCTCACGCAGAAATGTAGTTGGGTATGTTGCCAGTGAGATATTAGTCTGAATAATTGAGTTAGGTAAACCAGTCATTTACCGCAGTCTGCAGTGGTGGAAGTCAGTGATATGGTTAGTTTCTTCAAAGTTAATAACCACCACTTTTGCTAGTTAGCCTTCACAAATACAGAATCCCTCACAATGCTGGTCATTACTAGTTGTTCAGAAATCAACACGGTATACTGCAGGGTAAAGCAGTCTGTCATAGTAACCCTATTTTAAAGCTAATAGATAGAATTTTGATAGGAGTTAGGACCCGTAAACCTTCTATTGGTTACTTCCGGAGGATAATCCACCTCAAGTCGGTTCATATTATTGCTCTTTATTTTATTGACACTTATTAATTCCCAACTGTCCACTTTACTTAGCCAAAGTTATCGGCCACCGGTTAACTGAAATCGAACAATTAAACTCAGTGATGCCCTATAGCAGTCCAGATCAGTCTAATCTGTTCTGTAAAATAAACTGCCTGAAAAAGTAAATAATCATACTCGTTTCACAATGGATGTTAAAACTAAAGTAATATCAGACAGTACGAAGCAGCACAGCACGCTGAACAGTTACTTCTATTTTGAACTACTGTGTTAAAAACAATTTGATAATCCATTCAGAATTATTTTAGAATTGCGAAGCAGATTTCATCTTGACCATTATTCATAATAAAATAACAAATATCCAGGTCTGTTTGCAGTTACACTAATGCTAAACCAGTTCAATGCTATCTCATGCTATTGTGAAACAATCACTAAGATTTCATGGTTTCCACTTCTTCTTGAAAATATCTCAGTTTTTTGTGAAAAGTACCCTTGATTTCTGAAAACCATTTGAATCACTGAAGCATTTTTTTTACCGCATTGTAACGATCAGTGTCTAAGTTAAGAATATCAGCATTAATCATACTGTTCGGTGGTTGAAATTACTATCGTTTCACCTATCTTGTATTGTGCACACGTTGAAATTTCGCTGAGCATTGTTCAGTAAAGACAATGTTTGATATTCGAAACCTATCTAGTTGGTAGCTTTGATGAAATTTTCACCAGGAAGTAACAAGTGCCGAGTGATGACTAATAAGTAGAAAAAACTAGGTACCGAATTAAAGACATTTCGGATCTTCATCAGTAGCATCTAGGGTCTTCAGATATCATGGTAAGTATTGTGAAGTTTTTTTAGAAGAATGCATTCGAAAAATATAAAAATCTTACCATTTATCTGTTTGAATCGTATTGAAGAAGATTAAAATGAATACTTCTGATAAATCTGTATGCTTTTTCAGCCTGACGATAGTTAGAAGCGCAATCCAAAACGCATATTTCATCCAGTTTAGGACTCGTCACGTAGATTTATCTGTAAACGTTTTATCTTAGGCTGAATGAAATTTTGTGTAACTATGATATCAATGCTTTCTGGCATAATTTATTGTCTATAATTATACCGGGGCGGTAATTTATGCCTGTAGCCTGATTTTCAGACAACGTATTGGGTTTATAAAATTTATAACTTCATTAGTAAGACTATAAATGTAAAATGAAGTTCAACAACTTATCCAACATATGGTGCAAAGTTACTAAATAGTGTGTCTAGTAATTAGCCACATGGTCCAGTTTATGTCCGGTTTTCAGTAAGGTTTTTTGAACTTATTGTTCACTAACCGGAGGGTGATCAGCACTTCCTTATTTACATCTAACCACACCAGTGTATGGATGTATCAGTATACTCGCTCCTATGAAGCCAAGCACATCGGCTGCACTACTCCACCAACTTACTAAACGCGCTTATGGGAACTATCTAGCCTAGCTGATAAAAGGAGAATGAAAAGGCACTTTCATCTCTATAACAAAACGCTTAGCTGACTCAAGACATTCATCTTTCTTTTTAATAAAGTAGGGTCACACCATTCGAAGAGAGTAAGGATATGATATCTAAGCATAGTCAAACCATCATTATGCATTCAAAAGAAATACGTGCAACTTCTTTGTTCGCCACAGTCATTGTAAAAGCTTGATGACTGTAGATTATTCCCTTATGATCCGATCATATTTCATTTTCTAGTTATTTAGTTGTTTTCTCATTTTTAATCCCCAAATGTATTACGTAACTTTTAATTTTTATGAAATGATTTCCAATCAACCATCATCTGTATCAAAGTTGCTGTCAGGAAAGTTGATCATAAAAATCACATCAACTTCCCCCAGATATGACTATTTCCAAATGTATTCAGTCTAAAATGCTCTCAATGCTTATTTTCTACTCTTTTGTTTTCATGGATTATTTGATAAATGAGCTACACTTAACCACAGATTCAAGCTAATTAAAACACATTCAAGTCATACATTTAGTTTCCTTGACAAATTGGAACAATGCAAAAACAAAGATAATTGCAAAATAAAGTGAGCCCATTTTGTTTCATGGCCTTTCATCAGCTGCAAATAGCCTACAACTGAAACAAATTATTAGTAGTAATAATAACATGACATACGTTAAACACGCAGAAATAAGTGGAGATTTGAAATGCAGGATTGACAATAATGTATTAAGTCAAGGAAACACAAGATTAATAGTTGCATATCTTAGCCAAAATCTATGGCTATTTATATCTGATGAGATGGAAAATTCTGGAGTTGTGGAGTGGGGAGGACAACAAACGAAAATCAGTGTAAAAGAACGGACTGTTTAGGGGCTAATGGGTTACGTAATAACACGAAAAACTTGAAAATCATCAAGTGATTAATATTCGGTATGTAATCAATGAAGAGCTGATGAAATCAAAGGAAAAGGCAAACATTTATGTACATTTATCAGAGTAAAGAAAAGTTAATTACAGTCTCCTTCTGACTACATAGGTCAGGTTGGAAATGTTTGATAGCGAAAGCTTCTGCAAACCGTAAAAGCATGGTGTTCTTTGTTTGTTTATAATCCTGAAAGATTGAGAAACATGTACTTGATGTCCTGTTACCATCAGCTGCCTGGCGATTGCGCTTTTGAAGACCTTTCTACTATTCAGACACACATTTCTCGGAATATGCTCATGAAATCGAGTGGACACCCTTCTTTCAGTCCGTTCTATGCACTTGCTTCTACAAGCACAGACGAATTGATATACGCAGTTGGAGGTGACGTGACATGGGTATTTGTCTACTTTTGACTGTGTCATTGAGCATAATGTATCGTAAACTGAGATCAGTCTGACAGCAGGGAAGCTCCTTCTCAGTGCAGCTTCTGTTCTTCTGTTTATTCTTTCAGATATGTCATCACGTAACCTATTAGCCCCTAAAAAGTCCCTTCTTTTACACTGATTTTCATTTGTTGTCCTCCCCACTCCACAACTCCAGAATTTTCTATCTCATCAGATATAAATAGCCATAGATTTTGACTAAGGTATGCAACTATTAATCTTGTGTTTCCTTGACTTAATACCTTATTGTCAATCCTGGATTTCAAATCTCCATTTATTTCTGCGTGTTTAACGTATGTTATGTTATTATTACTACTAATAATTTATTTCATTTGTAGGCTGTTTGCAGCTGATGAAAGGTCATGAAACAAAATGGGCTCATTTTATTCTGTTAATGTCTTTGTTTTAACAATCAAATCAGCCTATTTTAGTGCCGTGAAATGGAATAAAAACTTTAAAGTTTAATAAAATGGAATAAGAAGTGTCTTTACTTTTGAGACTGATAATGGATATTGCTTAACAGCGGAATCCAGAACGTGCATTTTGTTCTGTTTGAGAGTCGTCAGCTGGACGTACTTGGCTCCCGGTGAGTGAGTTTGCCCTCACTAAGACTTGAATCCGGGACCGATCCTTTCCACCACATCATCGAGTTACACTAGCCAATTCGTGTGCAAACAGTATGGTTCCTATGGTGTTGTTTGTATTACCCCGTCGTCCTGTGTGCCATAGATTCAACTGTTAGCCACTATACATCAGTAATTTCAAAGCTGAAAAATACAGGCCATCACGTAGGAGCTCATATACCAATAGAAACTGACCAATTTAGCCCAGTCATGGATAGGATAATACAAGAAATATCTTCTATGATTCTTTTCAGAGCAGAAACTGCTGTTATATTTCTGATTTCAAGTAATATGGTACTTTAGTGTAATTTTTCATAAACACTAAAAATTTTCATTTTGCTTAGTTATGGACTTAGTATTGAGACGTTAAAATTTGAGCATGGAAAGAAAATCTTAGAATTGGATACCACACTAGGTGCCAGTTACATTTTGAAACTCTTGAAAGTGTGATCTCAAATTAAAACAATAATGTATTCATTTCAAAGTAAAATAACACTTTTATCACGTTGATTACATAAATATGAACCTTACCAGAGAAGTGAAAGGCTAATGTTCGGTCGTGTGTAAATTATTGTCCGGTTAGTTATTTTGTAGACATAAAGAAGATTGTGTGCAGGATTGGCTGTGATATTTCAGTCAGATAGCACAAGAATCTGTAGAGTAGAAGAATAAAACTAGCAGGCATACGAAATCCACTTACTTCAAATGATAAATGCAGTTTGTTATACTTAAGTGATAATGTCATACGATCAGAAAGTGAAGGTAGAAAGCATTACCTTTCCAATGGATTCAACCAATCAGTCAATAAGACAATAAAATGAATAATACACAAATAGTGAGAAGTATTGCGATCAAAAGTATTGGAAAGTAATGAGAAGCGGAAAAGAGGAAATATAGTAAGCACTGACATGTGATATGACGATTAAGATAAAGGGATGCAACTGCAGCATTGTAACCAATTCCGAGTTGTATTACCTAGAGTTTCTAACCACTGGTTTCGGTTTTCTTAGAAACTTCAACCTAGAAGTTCACGTTTTTGTACTTCAGTTAACAGTTCATATAAGTGTAGACAGTGACTAGATATGTATAGTACATAGGTTATGCATTACTGTAGAGAAGTGTCACTTATAGGAATACTAAATTGAGTTAAGTAGATAAGTATGACGAAGCTATCCACTAAACATAAAACACTACAGGTTGCCAACTTAGACGTGAAAATCGATCTTTTCAGTCTTATTCTCCTCGTAGTGCAAGCGTACTTTTTTATCAACGTAAAAGGAATCTCTAAAGATATCCAAGCATTCTCAAACAGAAGAAATGCATGTAGGAACTGATCTCAAATTCAATATCTCAAAATTAGTTCCATTTACTAGTTATCTGGCTTTAGCTGCCGGAGATTACTTAAAGTAATTACTTGAAACAATATATAGCTATACATAACTCGACAAATTGCACTTTTTCCTAACTGGTGGATTGTCAGTAAACAAAATTACCTTGTGTAATTCTCTATTCTGCCATAAACTTCGTTGACAAAATCTACAATGTAGACAATAAACTAAATCACTTCACAAAGCAATAAACCCTATTTGACAAGAAAGGGTTATAGTAGATATCTAAACTGATTTAGTTCTCATGTTTGCTAGAAGTCACCAACAAAGCTTATGGACAAATTCAGTAAACTTAAAAACTACTTCGATTGCTTGAAATTGTGTTTATTGAAACACTCAATTGTTTGGTTAGTATAAAAAAGTCAGTACACTATCATGATCTGTAATTTAATCGCCAACATGAATGAGTATAAGTTCGTAAGATCTCAATCAGAGATTTTTTTTAACTAAAATTGTTAGACAGCGTCAAATTCAAATCGATTGCGTTGAACCATCAAATCAGACCTGAGTAATCATTCAAGTTCGACGATAAAACATTTCGTTTGCATTTAAAACCAGTAATTACTTCTCAATTTTTTTTAATTTATTCCACTTACATAGCTTAACAAATGCTGAAGAGCATATTGTTCCGGGTCGATTTTATTTAAAAGATCTAAAAGCTGGACTACAATTGAATACATTAGATCCTAAAAGGAAACTTTATGTGACAAGAGAACATCAAGGAGTAAGTCAAACAGGAAAGATTGTTGATTTTCAAAGTGATCTCATTCTGAAGTAATATTATCTGAAGGGAAAGTAAAAGTTGGTCAGGAGCGAACGGCGCTTCGTATTACGTTCCCAAATCTATCAGTATCATGCTCCAGTGATGGCTTCTGAGATTGGTTTCATCAAACTTAAATATCATATTTAAGTCAATGACATTTTGTGAGGATATTAAGGTTGGGAAGAAATACCTACTAAGTATACCTGGTATTAAATCCTTTTTGAGACAAGATAAACTTTTAGTCAATTATAATGCTCATAACTTTATTGAAGTTCAAACATGAACACTACAAGTTGAGAAATATTATATACCTTCGTTTATTAACTGCAGAAATAAGATTTTTTTACGGTCATTAAAGAAACAAAAGAGGCTTCTTTCACCTTTATCTCGTCAGGATGCAATTCAAGTATAATTCAAGTATATCTGACAGTGGAATGAAATCAAGGATTCACTTTCCGTTCTGTTTAAAAACCATCAGCTGCATATAAATGCCTGTCTGTCGGTATTTTCTGTGAACACCGAATGCACTGCTAATCACTAGCAATGTCATAGCACTGTTCGTTTAAATGCTTAACTATTACAGCCTCCCTTTATTTAACTGGCCCTGGCTTTTATGATCTCAAACATTCTAGTTCCCAGTTATTGGAACTAAACTCGTAGGTTTGTTTCTCCATAAGCATTCTTAGGATGAGTGTTTGGATGTTGTATCTGATTATGCTCTAGTTGTAATTATAAGTCAAGTGACTTTTTTATACATTTGAACAAAGAGGAATGTAAATTGAATCTGTTGGTAACTTAGAGACAGGTTTGTTTTATCTATTTGAGACCTATAGTTCACGTTATGTTACTAATAGGTTTAAATTGACTTGTTCTATGACTTTTGTACTGCGCTAAACTGAGGGTCATTTGTATCATTGTCGAGTAAAATTTGCTTCAAAATGGGAAAGTAGGCGTAAAGCTGAATGACTGGACAGCTCCCAGCAAACTGCCACTACTACTACTGGAGGAACTAGACACAGTTCTCCAAAGATGCTAACTGACAAAATGATCCGATCAATTTACTTCCTAGACGGAGAATTTGAATGACATTGTTTTTCTCTTATTTCTTCACTGTTATTTACTTTAGACTGTTTCTGTTGACTGTGTAGAAATGGTTGATGCAGATATGGAATGCAATTCAGGTATTATACATACAGTTAGATTTGTAAGTTCAACCACTTTTTTCAAAATTTTATTGTGGTCAAGATTTCTTGTCTTCATGAAATTACTAATTTAACCAAGTTTATCTCGTGATAAAATCACAGACTGAATTGAAGCAACTATCTGCAAAACTGGTGTTTGACGATAAGAATACTCAGATCACGAAGTGGAATAAATGTAAGATGCAAATTATACAACCTGAACAGGCAAAGAAGATACTTTATTTATCTGTAGGAAAAACCCCTAGTTGGCTAAATCAGAATTGCTTCCACTTCTAACTAAATTTATGCCAGTCAAATGACATGAAGATGCCTCATTAAACATAGATGACTAGTGGAATCAATCTCTCTTTTATTCTCTCATTCAAGTAAAGGATCGGACCAATCATATCTAATAGGCAGCATGAACACAAAAATGTATCTGGCAACCTATTCACACAAGTATTCTATAACAGTTGGTTTGCTGAATGAACTCTTTAGGTTTTTATTAGGTTAGTCCCCATCAATGATTCTTGGATTATGATTTTTGATAGAACGATCATAATAACATTCTTATCTCATTGAATTTATCCAGCTGTGATGACACAGTGTGTATTTAACCATTACTTTCATAAATGTGTATTATCAAACGAGATAAAACAGCTGTGTTGAAATTAAAAATGACACCATTTCCTAAAGCTTTTAAGTGATTATATAATTGGCAGCCTGAAACATATGCAAGATAGTACTTGACAGTCCTGTTAGTTTTGGATCTTAACTAGCTCCGTTAACTAAGTTTCTTTTGAATTTGGATTTGTCATGTTATTATTATGACGAAGTTCGGTGCATGTAACTGATATTTAATTTTGAAGTTCACAATGAAGTATAAATCAGACATGATCTCTTGTTAGTACTCAACGGTTGCGCGAAAAATATGAGACTTTTACTCAGAAAATATAAAAAGTAGGAGAAAAAAACCTTCCGAAGTCTTTCTTTATGCATAACTTGTCACATTCTTTATAAAGGCTTCCAGATACTACTGTTACTTCCCAAGTGATCATTCGAACTTACCCTAGTTTGGTTGTAAAATTCAGTCATAAAGAAGATCTTTAGTGGGTTGATTACTTTAACGATGAGGTCACTGACCCCAGCTTTGGATCATCCAGTTTTGAAGCTTGATCAGAACATGAGTTCCCTTAAGTTTGCAGTAGCATGGTGGTAGTGAGTGCCGAGAAGTAACAAATCTAGACTTAGATTTACGTCTCTTGTGAAAGCTGAGTTCACCACAATATCGCTTTAGCCAACCTATCGATTTATGCTTAAAACTTGACAGCCAGACAGGTTGCTATCCAGAGACCAATTTTTCATAACCAAGTTCTGATATTTAAAATCCTTCTATACACTAGAGCTTTCGATTGTCGTAGATTCGACTATTTCATCAGGTCATGAAGTCAGAATCTGATACTTGTTCGTTTCAATTTGACCTTCAATTAAACAGCTTTCTTGTAAATCATACAAATGAACGAGAAAAACAGTCACTCATTCATGTTTCATTCCTCATCAAGTACTATTCAACTTTTGGTAAAAGTTTACTAACCTTGCGACTGGGAAAGACAATAATGGTGATATATGTTCGGTGTTAACATTTTAGGACTGCTGTAAAACAGCATAAACTGTTCGGTTTAGAAGTTTTCGGGAATTTGTTTATTGATTTTAGTTTGGTATTCATAATGGATTGGCATTAGTTGGAAAACATTTGGAAACCTGGGAGCAGTGAACAGCGGTTTTGTCCTAGTACGGGACTTCTCGGCATTTTGCACCGATAACCGTCTAGAATTGATGCATAGCATCAAACTACTTTCAACTCAACAGGTCAATAGTAATTTATTCCTTATACCATAACTATATTTGGTCTAGTTTAGTATGAAACCAGAAGATTCAGTAGCAAAACCACCCAGAACTGCCTAAATCCCATTTGTCACCAGAGGTAATGTAAACAAAACCATTAGTTTCAGTTACTATATCCTATTTATTTACTCAAACAAAATTCCAATGAAATTTATCTTGTTTTTTAGCCTTTAACAAGTAGAGAAAAACTTGACAGGTCGTCTATTTTAAGCTTATTAGAATCACACTCTGAAACTCAGTCATTTGCAAGAGATTTATCAGCTGTAATTAAGAACAACTTGAGAAATGTCGACTCTGGTAAGCGTTATACTGTGATTATACCAAGTCAACAAAAATGGGAATCTTTACGTCAGAAGTATTCAGAGGAACAACTTCAAAGAGTAATTTCTTTTTTATTCATATATGTTTACATATATTTGTATTACATGCCCTCTTAAGAATTAAACTCTGAGTTTTAATACTTTGAAGTGAACAATTCATCTCTTATAGTTAAGATTTCATTTCAAGTTAATAAGGAATTATATTGGAAATATAAGTGGACCACTTCAAAATACTCTTGAATCGACTACCACCTGCAACTCTTCCAGAAATACCACCAGTAACGAAGAAACTACCAGAAAACCTTGGTCCTCCAACAAAAGAAGTCCTGAATGCCACAAAACTGCCGAAATTCAGGAAAGCAGCGGGACCAGATGGAAGCCCGCCAGAAGCACTGAAAACAGAAGTTGAGACAACAGCGGCATGCTCGTATCACTATTGCAGACGGTTTGCAAGGAAGGAAGAAAAAGTACCTGCCCAGTGATTGGAAGAACGGCTACCTTGTCAAACTTCCAAAGAAGCGAGACCTAAGTCGTTGCAAGAACTGGCGAGGAATCATGCTGCTGTCCACCCCAAGCAAAATAATATGCCACATCATCCTGAAGAGACTAAAAGATGCACTGGATTCAAAATTACGACCGGAACAGGCTGGCCGACTGGCTTCAGGAAAAGCAAATCGTGTGAGGATCAAATGCAACGCCACGCATCATCATAGAACAGAGTATAGAATGGCAGTCAACTCTCTACCTCAAGTTTATCGACTTTGAAAAGGTCGGCCTTCAACAGCGTAGACCGAGAAGTAATTTGGCAAATGCTTCAACACTACGAAATACCACAAATCTCCATCAGCCTCATTCAACAACTATATGATGACGCCACATGCCAAGTAATTCACAATGGAAAGTTCAGTGATGCTTTTGAAGCAAAGACAGGTGTAAAACAAGGCTGCCGCCCAATATCACTGATTATCTTCCTGATATTATTGGACTGGATCATGCAACAAACTGTGGGGAGCGAGAAGAGGGGATACGCTGGACCGGGGGAAAGATCCTAGAAGATTCAGATTTCGTCGATGACTTGTGTCTAGTGTCGTGTCGCACAAACTCGAAGATCTACAGGCAAAAACTAACAAGTTAACAGAAGACGCAGCGAGGACGGACTTTCTTCAGATGAACGTAGAGAAGATGGAGGTGATGAAGATAACCAACCAACACCACCACCAACAACAACAAACACCAATCACCATCAACGGGAGAAACCTACAAGAAGTAGTCTCTTCCACCTACTCATCTAGGTAGGCAGCATCGTTTCGACTACAGGCGGTGGCGACACAGATGAAGATGTCAAAGACACGATTGGAAAAGCAAGACAGGCCTTTATTAACCTGAAATCAGTGTGGAGATCTACTGCACTCCACTCCACTCCACTCAGCATAAAGCGTGAACGAGATCCAGATTTTAAACACTAATATCAGTCAAGTCAGTACTTCTTTGTGATGGTTGAGAGACTAAGTGTGTTACGGAAAGCATTTCCAACAAACAACAGACATTCATCAACAGCTGCATATGTTCGATACTGGAGACTGATCAGATGGTCAGAAAGAACAAGCAACAATGAACTCTGGACTGGCAACGAACCAACCAAGAACCTATCGCTCAACAAATATGCAGAAGAAAGTGGAGATGGATTGGGCATGCACTGAGATGCCATTCGCTGACATCATGCGCCGGGCCAGGCTGTCAAGTGGAAGGCAGATGGGAAACGACGAGTTGGGCGTCATATACGAGGGTGACATGGAGGAGATCGTGTGAGGAAGAATCGACAGCTTCTGGGCAGTCGTAAAGTCAGGTTGAAAAGTTTGCAGGCAACAGAGTGGAATGAAGACGTGCTACTGAAGCGGTGTGTACCACTAGGAACCCAAGGGACAAATAATAACAATAATTATATATGGGAAATTACTTGATTTGCTTTAAATCTGACGGAGTCTTTGAATGTGTCATCGTTAAACGTTACTGTAACTTCTGTTATACTTAGTCCATTTCGGTCGGCGAGAATACTGATCATCATTTTAAGGACGGTACTGAGTGAAACCGAAGGGAACCATAATTTATATGATTGTTTTTATGTCTGGAATGGGTTTAAAACAGTAAGTGTAACGATCTTATTATAAGTTGGAAGCAAGTAGTGATTAGGAACTTTACTTAACTTCAAGTTAAAAATTCTAGCCCAGTTCCCAATTACAGCATTCTATGGGTTTTCAAAAACTTGTTACGTTTCATTCTTCGTATCCAAATCATTATGGTCTAATTATAAAGTGATACAAAAATTTCTAATCTACTAGTTCAAAGCGTAATTACTGTCAATAAAAGTAATTTTCACTTCAACTAGACATCGTCTAGGTAACTATTCAGAACTAGAAGATATTTAACAGGCACTTCAACTTAGTTTTAGAACTATCAGGAAAGAGTTTAAACAACACTGTCAAAACGGAATTGAGCTCAAAGCTGTTGGTTGACTTAGCGAAGACGTCAATATGCAGCTGATTTACTGGACTAAGTAAAATGGTCTTCATTTTTCCACTTCTTCGGTTACTGGTTGGTATCTATTCTGACTCCCAAACAGATTGACTTGAAAATTCATAATTTCTCATTAAAACATACAGAAATCCATTTATTGCTTACCGTTGTTGGGGATCGGGTTGTTATTGAGATTGGAATTCAGCGAAGAATTAGTTAGTTTCTTAACAACTTCTATCACGAATCAAAATCAGCTGATAGCTAATGAAGTTAACTATATGATTTTAATCTTACCGAGTAATATCAAACATTTTAGAAATTAAACAAATAGCCCAAAGTAGAATACAAGACATGCCTTTTTTCCTATCGGGTAACTGTTCGCTGGAACTACCCGTCTCCCTGTAATTTATGGGGTTCTCAATGAGACTGTAAAGTGATATCCATAGTTTTAAACGCCAGAGTGTTACCAACTAGGCTATTATGCTACGAAAGTCAACTGTGCAATATGGCAACTAATTTTTGTTGACAAAAGGAAATAACTAATACAAAAATGACCGGTCAGGAACAAGCCCAATATTAACAGACTTTTAGTCATCTATGTGATCCTTTCAAGAATCATATCATCACTCATCTTCACACAATTCCTGATTGTCTCAATTCTGAACAGAAATAAACAAGTCTTGAATAACTGTGAAGACTTAAAAGTTTTCAGCTTATACTACGATTACTTAGAGAATCCTTGGAATGGGAATTCTCAGTTATGTGCGCCCATGAAGTCGCAAGTGATCCAGCTCACAATATCTCAGATATATATATATATATATATATATATATATATATATTGAGGACTTCCCATTTACTGTTACATGTGTTTTTTGAACAGAATAATATAGTTCGCGTCAAATATTTTCTCAAAAGTAATACTATCTTCGTGTTCACTAGTTCTCTCATTTAAAAAATTGACGAGTTTCTAGTGATAATGATATCTTTCCTTTGACAGTAAAACATCAGTAAGTTAGAAGTCAAGGTCAAATCGTAATCTAACCTGTGAACCTGTATATCAAGCTACATATATTTGGCGTTATATGTAATCGTGGGTCTTAGAAATTTATCCCACACTTCATCTGCTATTAAATGAAATTTCTAACCTCATACATTTTGTTTAACTGAATATTCATATTTTCTTAATTTTTGTAGATTGCAGCAAATCATGTTATCCTAGATCAACATTGTTCAGGACATTTAATTCAATCTCTTCAGAGTTATAAAACATTACTAGGAGAAAGACTTGAGTTTATTTGTGAAACTGATTCAACTGGTAAAGAACGACATTATGTTCGTACTGTCTGTGGGGATAAACGTGAAATAACTACTTCAGATTTAGCAGCGACAAATGGAGTTGCACATATTATTGAAGAAGCGTTAATACCATTTTCAGGTGAGTCATTGTTTATCTACATTGTATTGTAACATCTGAAATAATTAAAATAACTAGTTCATAAAATAAGGTTTTCAAAAAAAACCAAGATGCACGCAATTCACTGGAGAAATTCAAATGACCATTACATCAATCATACATAGTGAATGAAGTTAGCTAATTACATCACTTCACGCTAGCCAATGGAACTGAACTAAGTAATCAGATGAATTAGAAGCCTAACTTAGTTGTCGTTTTCTAATATCTAGAAATAAACCTTAAGCAAGGGACTGATTTTAAAACTTCATATAGCTCTACAGTTTTAGGAGGAAAGACTGTTAGAATCAAGAAGTCTACTGAGGAATAGTTCGTTTTCACCTACAACTGTCTTCACTAACCACAGTAAAGTTTATTTAGTATATCATAGGCTAAATGAAAATAATGAGACAGGGGAACCAACGCAAATTGAATCTGAAAGTGTGAGTTTCCAATGATATTCAGTATCTAGATGTATGCAATGGGGAGTAAATATTTTCATTTTATGAACTATTGTTGAAGTCGTTAATTGAAATTTATTTAAATACTAATTTTCCTTTCCCTCTACTCTTTGTCTTTATATCTCATTGGACAAAAACTTAACAGTGATATTACGAGTCAAGTTGACCATTTAATGCTCACTTGATTGATGTACTGCTTATTTCATTAGTTTATCATAACAGTACGTTTTAATGTTTTGTTTACTATGTAAACTGTGTCAAGAAATATGTTCAAATATACTAAAAGTCACACTTGAAAATATGAACTGCGATGCGTAAATGTGCGATAGCTTACCGGACTTCTTAGGAACGAGACAAAATGCAATTAGATGAAAAAATGCAAGAGTACCGTGGAGACATTGACTGTTATAGTCACCTTTATGATAATGTGCATAACTATGTGATAGAGTAAGTTCAGTAAAAGTAGTTTTTCAGGGATCAACTAATGAACCCATCCAACTAAGAGTTTTAACATATGTTTTAAAAGCCATACTTCTGTTATTCAGTGCAGCTCAATAATAATTCCATAGATTTTTCTGTTCACCTACAAGTTTTATGAAAACCCAGTATTTGAAATGAATTATCCGATCTCGTCAAGAGCACAGAAGAGTCATCTCAATCATACCGAGGTGTTTTTTATTCCACAAACCTGCTTACTTATCTGTTTAACAACCTCTATAATTCCCATCATTAGTAACAGGTGGCAAGAAGTTAACTTATGTCATATCGCCTTGCAAGCATTGTGAATCCAATTAAATCAGTCGCGGTACACATGCTTTTATCATCCCAATCAATGAGATGAACAAAATTGAGTGACTTACATTTATCTACTCATGAGTAACATAAAATATAATGAAATATTTTATTGTCATTTTACATTCTACTATTTATACAGTGATGACATTAGGAGAACTAATGCAAAATAAAGGATGCGCTGAAAATTTGAAAATCACAGACTTCTTAAATTTGCTCAAAGAATGTGATCTGAAAATTGAACCAGGACAAAAATATGCTGTTGTCTTACCTCAAGACAGTTCATTAAAATGTGAGTACTACAAAGTCATAATTTCCTTCTTATCAATAAATAATTTCTCAGATCAGTGGATAAAGAAATGACAGAAAAATCGGAAGTCATCTTTCACAGTACATCCAAAAAATTTAAAAAAAGATAAAAAATCGAAGTCGAGTAACTTAAATATGACCCCTTACGTTATCTAATGGATGATTTCAAGAACAACTTATTTGTATCATTATAAAAGTAGATTGTTTTGAAATGAGACAGCCCCTCTCAGATGATAGTAGTAAAATTCCCGACACAGGGACTAAAACCATCCGTTAGACTGGTAGATGTATAGAAAAGCTGAGTCATTACTGCACGACAATAAGACCAACTTTTCACTGAAAGCCATGAAGAAAGGGAAAGATTTGTAGTTTAGAAAGTATTAGATACAATCGTATCTACAGCATAATTTATTCAGTGGAAACTTTAGTTTTGTTACTGAGTTCATGATCAGTTATGAATTCCCTTTTCAAATAGATAAGTATTTCCGCTGTGTAGTTACACAACTAATGACTAATAGTCTCAATCAAAATGAAGTTTCTTGTTTTGAATAAGTTAACAATCAATTATTGATAACAAATAGCCGGTTTTTTCAACAACAGAATCAACAAATGGAAAGGCTAATCACCAGTCAGCATGTTATGCAAAGAAAACGACTTAGTGTTACATCTTTCGATTTTCAGTAGCAGAGTTTTAACTGAAGACTCATTATTCGATCAGTCTGGAGTGGTTACTGATTGGATTTTAGCTTTTATTGGCTTGCGATGAAAAACATCCGTGAATATAAAGTATTTCACTTTGATACATTGGTTTCCATGACCCGCCTTACTTTTACTGGTGAACCTCTTTAAATGCTTGAGATGTTTTTCCTATCAAATACTTTTTCAGTATAACATCTTCATGAGTAATATGCCGCTATCTCATTATTGATCCCTTTATTGTTAGCAATGAGTCCTGTGTAAGCATCCTGAAAAGGAGTGTACTTATCTGGTGACTAGTCATGATTATGAGTAAACATCAGGTAGCGTTAAAAAATAAAAAACCTAAGCATACTAAAAATGTATTAATTAAGGACACTTGATAATGACTGGCAATGAAATGGAAGTCCGTGTGGTGATAGGTCTTCAACTAATAGCCTCTACATTAATGGCTTACCACTCTACCAATAGAATTAAAACACCCAACTACTGACCTGGCCTTAATTTTACTTCAATCACTAATTGATTTTGATTGAAGTGAAACCAATGCATTGTCAACTGATGCAACACTGAGCTGGTAATTTAGACATTGGATGTAATCCTGTCAGTTAGGCTTCCACTTCCTTTCCAGTCATTACGCCTATCAAACATATTAGTCCAATAAACCACGGCTGTCTTAGTTAATCTAATCAATGTAATAATTCCGATAAACTAATTAACTGGAACAAGTGGAACTAACAATCTGTTTAACTAGTTCACTTCCCTGACCAACATTTCAAAACTGAAATGCATCCATCCATATTACGAATTGTAGTGTTTACTTTTAGAAGAACGCGAATTATTATGAATCATCTATCTTTTACCCTCCTTATAGCCACTGGTTTCTGCCACCTAAGAAACTCTACACGGTGCCGTTTAGTAGTTAATAATTACATGTACCGATGACATGCTTTAGTTTGATACCATCCGTTTTATCGCAACTGATCAAAATGAAGGTGAATTACACTGATGAATGACATCTTGGTGACTTTCCGTGTCACAAACGAGTATTGTCAGTCTGTCCTACAGAATAAGCCCATTACTTGTTATCAAACTGTACAGTTTGAATGCCTCTACGCAAAGTAAGGCGTATATTCATTTTCCGATTTATTCAATTACAGGGTGGTCTAATTATCCACAGTTTCAAGATGAATATAAACGTTTTCAAACAGACAAAGTGTATCGTTGTAAGGTGGCACGGTATCATATTATGAAAAGTGATAATCGTTTAAACAATATTGGTAATTTCTCTAGCCACACATTGGGGCATCGTACAAATAATCCAGATGAACCACTGTATGAGACAACATACTTTAAAAAATCACCATATGGATCACAGGTAATTAATTGTTCACTCACTTGATAATTATCACTATCATGATTGTACATTTTGTTGAGGTGGACAACAGTGAAAGGATGAAGAACTGTTTTCTTAGTACATTATATTCAGTACCTGTAAGAAAAATAGCCTTGTGACGGGTATCTTGTTGGCAAAGATAAATCACGTTCGTCCTCTATCTGCATTTTCCTTCAGTTTTCTGCCCCTCACCTTCTTGCTTTCAATGATGGTAACCAATCGCCTCTGTTCCTCTCACCAGAACATTTCCTAATCGGTTATCTGCCCTTGTGACTTTTACTGAAGATAATAAATTACAAACTACTTAAACAAATCGCTATCAGCTGCATGCACTAGGATGTTAAATGTTCAATCTTCTTTTTTTATTAACGCCGACTAGACAACCCAAAGGTGCATATGTTTAATTTCTAGAAACTGTGCCCAATTTAAACGTGTTTGATTCTACAAACACTTTCTTGTCCTTGCATTGAATCGTAAATGACTTAAATGACTGAATACCGACGGTATTCACCGACGATCTTTGTTCATAAACCCAAAAACGATTCCACTTAAACTGAATTAAATACGGTAATGAGGCAAAGTCCATTTGACAGTAACGAAGATATTCTAGAAGTAATGAGTCTATGAAACATGAGGAATTATAAATACTAACTGATTACTCAAAAAGTAAATACGGTCAATCAGGTTTAGTCTGTCTTTATCCCAACTTAGATTTTACTTACTTTCAACTGGAATTCATGTTAATCCATAATATAATTACACACACGCGGAAACTTTGTATTTACACTCATAAATTTATTTACGAATGCTACTATATTAGTTAAGGGTGAGCAAAGCATTTCTTGTTAATCAAAGCCATTCGAAGTGATTCAGCTTCAAAAATCACTCTCTAAATCTTGACCTGACGGTTGATAAGTATCTAGTCAGTTCATCTAGATATTGTCGAACCGTCTACCTATTTTACTTTATATGAGATTATTCATTCTGAATGTTTCAAGTTGGTGAAAAAGACTTAGACTTATTAGCCTGTCAGCAAAGCTTACCAAAATAAGGATTTCATTCAGAATATGGTCACCATGTTGCATCTAACAGACAAATCACAAATTTGTATTTTAAGTATTTCAGTCAACTGTTCAGTCATTTTTTAACAAAACGAAAAAATATCCAACTTAATTGCACCAGAGATTAACCTTAATACTATAACAGCTGAAAAACTGTAGGTTATAGATATCTGTTTCATTGTAGTTTAGGTCCCCAATAGTACACAAACCAAGCCCTATACGTAGTAACGTCCGGAATCATAAATATCTGTGATCATCACGTTTCTATTCAGGCAGAAGGTTGGATTGTACAGGTCAATGATTTTAAAATTATTTTATTCCATGATTACCATCTGATTGATCCAGTCTGTTGGCCCCAACAAAATATTCAACCAAGTTGACACCCCGATTCAATGCTTCTCATTAGCCCCTCAAAAGAATTAATCTAATGCGAACAGAACTGTCATTACTGCGACTAATTCGTGGAGAGCTGGTCAATTTACTGATAATTTTCCTCATCAATTAATGTAGAAATTAGAATGAATTCTCACCTGCAATACTCAATGAATGTTTCAACCAACTTCATAAAGTGCGAACCACTGAATTCCAACCCATTGACAGAATGACAATGTGCTCCCTTCACATTCCAAAATCCTTAAGATAGATCTGGTATCATCATAGGCTGATATTGGATGAAGAAAAAGTTGGAAACCTGGGGACACCAAGCAGCTTTTTTACCCTACTGCGGACTCCTCAGCGGTGTGCACACATGACCCTGCCGTGGATTGAACAAAAGATTTCCTGGTTCCACGGTCAGCACGTTAGCAGTGAGCCACTGGATCACCGAACCACCTCGCCCCGACCTAGTAGTTTATTGCTAAGGTGATGACTACAGAACCCGGAGTTTCTTAGTTCAGTCCCTGACAGGGTCACTGATGAGCACTGCCGAGGAGAGAGAGCATTAGTTCCCAATGGTTCTCACACCGATGTCAGTATGTAGTGAATACCACCTTGAAGTCATTATGCAGAAAACTACTACTAGACGATTAGTCTTAAGTAGTTGTTGCGTGATACAACAGTGTCAACCGATGAAAGTTTGTGTAAGACATAAGCAAAAGAACTTTGACAAAAGTTAGGTTGATTCGTATGTTACAAGGGGTTAAACAAGTAGAAAAGTTAGGTGAACTCAAGATATTCAACATTCTTTATGAACAAGTACATGTCTATCTCTTAACTAAGGTTTTGAATAACTCTAAATAAATTGCCTAAGCAAGTTGATGATGAGGTCGGCAAAGTCTAAAACTAATACAGAACAAAAGAAATTAACAGTGGCATGTGAATTCAGTAACCATTGGAATACGTTTATGCACCGGTGCCCAAGAAACAATAATACTCCTCTCACACTTAATCGACATCATCAAACATCCTCATTTGTTGCACTCGGATAACTCACTTTATGCACGATATGCTGAAGATGTGCACAATGATTTAGATCACATAAAATTTTATCTAAATAAAATCTGAAACAAGATAGTATACTACTGAAAAAACTTGATTAGTTACCACACAGGCTGATCTTCAGATTTCGTCAGTCAGATCAAAGTGATATAAACACAGGATAGCTGTTTTCCTCGTTTGAAGCCGAGCTCATCGGCGGTGTGCCCGAACAAATCCAGTTCACACAGCCTAATTGTTGACTGAACAGTTTCCAAATGATTTAAAAATTAAACGGTCCACGATGACATTCCTCACAACCGACAAAATCTGCATAACAGTCTGAATGGTTTCATTATTATAAGTGTGAAACTTGCTCACTCTGGTAGAATGTAATTTCTACAACAGATCTGTTGATTTGATTTACAGCGCAAAGTGATACAGTATTATTTACTTGATGACGTTTCAAACATAAAATATTGCTCATATTACTCAATGCTCACATAAGGTGATCAAATGTACTATGATACTTTATGTATAGTTGATTATTCTTATAAAATTCCGGTGGAAAAGCTTAATATAGACCAAGATATTGTGATTCGTCAACAACTTACTTCTAAACACTTAATCCTAAATTGCCTCGGATGTGATCAATGCAAGTATCTACAGCAGTTTATAAACTAACCTATTTTTTCGTATGAAGTCATTTTTTCATTTGCAGACTGAATGCTCTCTGATTCATAATTTTCCAAAGTCACCGTAAAAGTCTTAAGAACTAACATCCGTTCATTGTTACAGATCTGCTCTCAAGAACATCGGCTATAAGTAGATGAAATGTTTTACACTTCATACTCAGCGAATATTCATTTGAATTCTGGTGGGGGGGGGGTTGTGGTGATTTAGTGATTTCAAGTTGGAATTCTTCAAGGAATGACATCAGTTGGAGGAATAATGGAAACCAGGGAGAACTGGATAGTTGTTGCGTCCTAGTATAGGGCTCCTCAGCAATGCACACCCATGTCACCGCCAGAGGTCGAACTTAGGACCTATAGGTTCCGTGACAACACGTTTTTATTGAGCCAGTAGGTCGGAAACCAGTGGCCTATATTTCCAACTTCCCTGGCAAGGTCATGGGTGAGCAATGCTGGAGAGTCTCATAACAAGACGAAACGGCTGTCTAGTGCTCCCAGGTTTCCTCTGTTTCTCCAACTGATGTCAGTCTATGATGAATACCAACTTCAAATCATTAAATCCACGCAAACCCCAAATTAACTTTATGTAGTGCTCATTGGTGATCACCTTCAAGAATGGATTCCTGAAGTTTCAATAAGAAGTCGTGACTAGTGGGGAAAACCTGGTGGATATGAGGACAAATACTCAACGATGACATTGCGTGATGGTCGCGCTATGTCGTGAACTGACATAAGTTGGAGATATTGACCACTCGATCCCAACGCAATGGATCAATGTAAAAGAAAGGTAGGAGTAGAATTTAGACACAAGTGTAGAGTATACCTTTAAATAAAATGACTGCATTCGATAAAGAGCACAAGCTGATCTCACAAGTTACTTAGTTTGCACACCTTTCATTATTTGATTTTAATCGTAGTAGAATTTTCCGTAAATCCCAGAATAACGTGGAATCATTCCGGTCGTATATATAAGGTGTTAATTTATGAGCTATGACTCATAAATCGACTGAATCAACATCCAACACGGGCAACTGAAGCAGTTCAACGTCATTCTTGGATACACGGAAATTTCTATCATCAACATCCAAGAACGAAAATTAATAGGACTTCATAGACTTTGTGGCTATATGACTATCCTCATCTGATTATAGGCGATAATTTCCACTCGAAGTGTCATGTGGTAAGTAATATTGTGCTACTGAACGCTATATTAAATAAACTTAAATGAAAATGAAGAAGAATTGTTTGAAAACAAATTTTCAGGAGGAACAAACAGTTGGTCAGGCTTCCTTAAAAGCCAGAATGGTATACAACCTCATCCTGTAGCCAAACCGTAAAGGTCCTCTCAGTTCGAAATAACAATGAATTTCTTGTTTTCAGCGTCATACTGAACACAAGGATAAACTTTATCGACCTTGGAAAGTCATTTAACTTTATTATTATTATTATTAGTCCCTTGGGTTCCTAGTGGAACATAGGGCTTCAGTAGCACGCCTCCAGTGACCTCTGTTCTCTGAGATCTTTTGAACCTGGTTCCACGACAGCCCAGAAGCTCTCATTTCCTCCTCGCACGACCTCCTCCATGTCACCCTCGGACGTCCAACTCGTCGCTTCCCATGGGGATTCCACTCGAGGGCCTGACGCGTGATGTCCTCAGTCGGCCTTCTCAGTGTATGCCCAATCCATCTCCACTTCTTCCTGCATATTTGTTGCGTGATAGGTTCTTGGTTGGTTCGTTCCCAGAGTTCCTTGTTGCTTATTTTTTCTGGCCATCTGATCTTCAGCAGCGAGCGTAAGCAGTTGTTGATGAATGTCT